AATAGAGGGATGGACTGGACGGGAGGCTGTGAGGTGCTCTGGGGAGCTGTGGGCCGAGTGGAACAGGTGATCAGTCTATTTTTTAGGAGCCACAAAAATAGACTCCTCACGCATGGATTTTTGGAGGCGAGTGGAACAGTGGGCGACGAAATCGCGATTGTTGGCATGAAGGTGCGATTGGGGAGGGGGGGGGGCGGGGAGGGAGAGGATTAAGAAGGGTGTTCGGAGCTTGGGGGACTTGAAGGCGAATGGAGCAGCAGGGGATTATCACCATTGTGCACTTCGATTGCTTGCCCCCATCCTTCTTCCACACCCCTCATCCCTCTCCCCTCTCCCCTCTCCCCCCTCCCCCCTCCCCTCTCCCCTCTTCCCTCTCTCCTCTCCCCTCTCCCCTCTCCCCTCTCCCCCTCCCCTCTCCCCTCTCCCCTCTCCCCCACCACCCATCTCTCTCCCCCCACCAGGCGGGCAATCCCACCAAGACGACGGTCACTGGAGTGGAGATGTTCAAGAAGATCCTGGACCAGGGGCAGGTGGGTGCTTGAAGGGAGGGGGGGCGGGCAGGTGGGTCGCAGGGGGGGGGCAGGTGGGTCGCAGGGGGGGGGGGCAGGTGGGTCGCAGGGGGGGGGCAGGTGGGTCGCAGGGGGGGGGCAGGTGGGTCGCAGGGGGGGGGCAGGTGGGTCGCAGGGGGGGGCAGGTGGGTCGCAGGGGGGGGGCAGGTGGGTCGCAGGGGGGGGGCAGGTGGGTCGCAGGGGGGGGGCAGGTGGGTCGCAGGGGGGGGGCAGGTGGGTCGCCGGGGGGGGGCAGGTGGGTCGCAGGGGGGGGGCAGGTGGGTCGCAGGGGGGGGGCAGGTGGGTCGCAGGGGGGGGGGCAGGTGGGTCGCAGGGGGGGGGGGCAGGTGGGTCGGACGGAGGGGGCAGGTGGGTGGCTGAAGGGGGGTAAGGAGGGAGGGTAGTAACTGGTGTGAGGAGAACTGCCAAGGTGACTGGTGTGGAAATGTTTAAGAAGCTCCTTGACCAGGGGAGCTGGAGCGGGAGCGGGCGGCACCCCCCTTGGGTGTCACCCCCCTTGTGGTATCAGCCCCCTTGGTCTCACCCCCCTTGTGGTGTCAGCCCCCTTGGTCTCAACCCCCTTGGTCTCACCCCCCTTGGTCTCAACCCCCTTGGTCTCAACCCCCTTGGTCTCACCCCCCTTGGTCTCAACCCCCTTGGTCTCAACCCCCTTGGTCTCACCCCCCTTGGTCTCAGCCCCCTTGGTCTCAACCCCCTTGGTCTCACCCCCCTTGGTCTCCCCCCCCCTTGGTTTCACCCCTTGGTCTCACCCCCCTCGGTCTGACCCCTCTAGATTGTAAAGAGAACGTCCATGACTATTCACCGAAACCAGAAGAGTGGGTGGTTTAGCACATGCATTGTCTTTCCGTCCGCCCTTCTGTTCCCTCTCTGGCGCTGCAGGCAGGAGACAACGTGGGCCTGCTATTGAGAGGCCTTCGAGAATTCTCAGATACCTATCACTTCCCTCGCTTCTCTGGCGCTGCAGGCAGGAGACAGCGTGGGCCTGCTAATGAGAGGGCTCAAGCGCGAGGGCGTCCAAAGGGGGCAGGTGGCGTGCAGTGCAGGCCCGGGTCGAGTGAAACCTCTCAGAAGCTTCACTCTCTTCCTCCTCCTCCCTTGACCTTTCTCCTTCTGTGTTCACAGGCAGGAGACAACGTGGGCCTGCTCATGCGTGAGGAGTCTATTTTTGAGGCGCCTCAAAGATATTTCCTCCTCCTGTGTGCTTCAGGCAGGAGACAATGTGGGCCTGCTGATGAGAGGGCTCAAGTGCGAGGACGTGCAGAGAGGCAAGGTGGCATGCAAGCCCGGGTCCATCAAGACGTCTGAGAAGGTTCAGGCGGGGATCTACGTGCTGACGAAAGAGGAGGGCGGGCGGCACACAGCGTGCTTCCATCTTATCCCTTTTCTCCGTCCTCTTCCTCCTCATGTGTGCTTCAGGCCGGTCACAACGTGGGCCTCCTCATGCGTGAGGAGTCTATTTTTGAGGCGCCTCAAAGATATTTCCTCCTCCTGTGTGCTGCAGGCGGGTGACAATGTGGGCCTGCTGATGAGAGGGCTCAAGCGTGAGGACGTCCAAAGGGGCCAGGTGGCGTGCAAGCCTGGCTCCATCAAGACCTCGCAGAAGTTCCAGGCCGAGATCTACGTGCTGACCAAGGAGGAGGGCGGGCGGCACACGGCGTTCTTTTCCAACTACCGCCCGCAGTGCTACATGCGCACGGCGGATGTGACGGGCAAGGTGGTGCTGCCAGAGGAGGTGAAGATGGTTATGCCGGGGGACAATGTCAGCGCCACCTTCGAGCTGCTCTCCCCTGTGGCCATTGAAGCAGGTATGTGCGCCTGGTGTTGTCGAAGCAGGGGTGTGTGTGTCTTTGAGTCCACTCAAGTGTGACGGGCAAGGTGGTGCTGCCAGAGGAAGTCAAGATGCTGATGCCGGGGTACAATGTGACCGCCACATTTGAGCTGCTCTCCCTGGTTGCTATTGAAGCAGGTACGCCTCTTTTGCAGTCTGTTTCTCTCTATTTCCCAGTCTCCCTCTCCCTCTCCCTCTTCCTCTCTCTCTTCCTCTGCCTCTCTCTTCCTCTGCCTCTCTCTCTTCCTCTGCCTCTCTCTCTTCCTCTGCCTCTCTCTCTTCCTCTGCCTCTCTCTCTTCCTCTGCCTCTCCCTCTCCCTCTTCCTCTCTCTCTTCCTCTGCCTCTCCCTCTTCCTCTGCCTCTCTCCCTCTTCCTCTGCCTCTCTCCCTCTTCCTCTGCCTCTCTCCCTCTTCCTCTGCCTCTCTCCCTCTTCCTCTGCCTCTCTCTATTCCTCTGCCTCTCTCTCTCTTCCTCTGCCTCTCTCTCTCCTCTGCCTCTCTGCCTCTTCCTCTGCCTCTCTCCCTCTTCCTCTGCCTCTCTCTCTTCCTCTGCCTCTCTGCCTCTTCCTCTGCCTCTCTCTCTCTTCCTCTGCCTCTTTCTCTTCCTCTGCCACTCTCTCTTCCTCTGCCTCTCTCTCTTCCTCTGCCGCTCTCTCATCCTCTGCCTCTCTCCCTCTTCCTCTGCCTCTCTCCCTCTTCCTCTGCCTCTCTCTCTTCCTCTGCCTCTCTCCCTCTTCCTCTGCCTCTCTCTCTTCCTCTGCCTCTCTCTCTTCCTCTGCCTCTCTCTATTCCTCTGCCTCTCTCTCTTCCTCTGCCTCTCCCTCTTCCTCTGCCTCTCTCCCTCTTCCTCTGCCTCTCCCTCTTCCTCTGCCTCTCTCCCTCTTCCTCTGCCTCTCTCTCTTCGTCTGCCTCTCTCCCTCTTCCTCTGCCTCTCTCCCTCTTCCTCTGCCTCTCTCTCTTCCTCTGCCTCTCTCCCTCTTCCTCTGCCTCTCTCTCTTCCTCTGCCTCTCTCTCTTCCTCTGCCTCTCTCCCTCTTCCTCTGCCTCTCTCTATTCCTCTGCCTCTCTCTCTTCCTCTGCCTCTCCCTCTTCCTCTGCCTCTCTCCCTCTTCCTCTGCCTCTCCCTCTTCCTCTGCCTCTCTCCCTCTTCCTCTGCCTCTCTCTCTTCGTCTGCCTCTCTCCCTCTTCCTCTGCCTCTCTCCCTCTTCCTCTGCCTCTCTCTCTTCCTCTGCCTCTCTCCCTCTTCCTCTGCCTCTCTCTCTTCCTCTGTCCCTCTCTCTGTCCGCGGCTCTCTGTGTGAATGTGGGCATCCCTGTCTCGTAGGGTCGCCCGCTGTGCTGTGCTACCTGCAGTGGTAGGGGGGTCCGGGACTACCTCCTGCCTGCAGTGCTACCTGTGCACGGCGGGCATGGCGGGAGAGGTCGTGCTGCCAGACAACGCAAGATGGTCATGCTGGGTGACAGCATCATCTTGCCAACTGTCTGCCTAGCGACCTTAGAGCTGCTGTTGAAACAGTTGACGATGTGGTTGCCATTGAAGCGGTTGAGTGACTTTTGAGTCGACTCAAAAGTCAACTGTCTGCCAAGCGACCTTAGAGCTGCTGTTGAAACAGTTGACGATGTGGTTGCCATTGAAGCGGTTGAGTGACTTTTGAGTCGACTCAGAAGTCAACTGTCTGCCAAGCGACCTTAGAGCTGCTGTTGTAACAGTTGACGATGTGGTTGCCATTGAAGCGGTTGAGTGACTTTCGAGTCGACTCAGAAGTCAACTGTCTGCCAAGCGACCTTAGAGCTGCTGTTGTAACAGTTGACGATGTGGTTGCCATTGAAGCGGTTGAGTGACTTTTGAGTCGACTCAGAAGTCAACTGTCTGCCTAGCGACCATAGAGCTGCTGTTGAAACAGTTGACGATGTGGTTGCCATTGAAGCGGTCGCACTGTGGTTGTTGGGCTTCTTGTCTATTCTTCTGGCGCCTCAAAACTAGACCCTGCCTTTCCCCACCATGCACTGCTGTTCCCCCCTCTGACCCCACTCCCCCCCTCTGACCCCACTCCCCCCTCGGACTCCACTCTCCCCCTCTGACCCCACTCTTCACCCTCTGCAGGCCAGCGCTTTGCTTTGCGGGAGGGCGGTCGCACCGTGGGTGCTGGCGTGGTTGCAAAGCTTCTGGACTGAGATTGGGACTGCTTGTCAGTAGGTGGGCAGGTTGTTATTTTGAGAATTCTAAAAACCAACTTACGTCAGTCTGTAGGCAGGCAATGCAATTTGACCGGGCTGCTGTTTTGAGGTGCCTCGAAACCAGGCTGCTGTGTGCCCAGCAGAGTTGTGGAAATACAATGAAGCAGGAGAAGATGTGGGGTTGTAGCAGTGGACTTGGCGTTGGTATACTGCACAGCTGAGACGAATTTTGTGGGAATTTCGCTGGTCAGATCGTTTCTTGGCCTACCGGTAATACCCTAGGCCTCTCACTGCACTGCAGCTGCATAGTGATAGGTGTTACATAATTCTAGAAGAACGTATGGCTGTTTTGCTATGCTGTGTTGCTATACTTGCATTAACTCTATAACGAACAGCAATGACTACCTAGAGAAAATCATTAATCAGATTCATACAGGACAACACCCATTTTACAGTATTCGTTGTAGATTTGACAGCCTAAAACGATGTAGTTCTGGAAAGGCTAGACAGGTAAATACTCTTGTGCATTTCACCCTCCTGCTCAGAACCTCAGAGGTGCACTTTTCACGAAAACCGCAGCGGCGAGGGACAGTGCAAATTACAGCGCTTTCCTGCTGACAGAGCGGCTTGATGCCCCCTTGATTGGAGCCGAATCCGCAGCGGGATACAAGACCATTATCCAATTTCTTCCTCACAAAACCCCTGCAGTGGCTGCCGCAACTACAGCAGCAATGGCGAGTGCGTAACCGAGCGCGCTGCTGCTGCTGACACTGCCGCCCATCGCCCCCTTAGGTGGAGTAGCAGCAGCAGCAGACGCGGGGGGGGGCAGAGCAGAAGGCGCACCGGTGGCATTCACAGCAGCGCCAACAGCCCCAGCGCCAGAACCAGCGAGGGTGCCGTTGGCAGGGGGGGCTGGGATCTTCCTTGGGATGCAGGTGTCGCAGAAGGTCGGGCAGGTCTCCAGGCAGAAGGTGTTGTTGCGGAAGGGGCGGGATATGCCGCACCCCGTGTTGTCAGGGGGGCAGGTGTGCTGTATGTCCACCCACCTGTAGGAAGGGGAGGGACAGTGAGAGAGGAAAGGTGGTTAGCGGCAGGGTGAAATAGAGGTCTCCGGGCAGAAGGTGTTGTTGCGGAAGGGGCGGGAGATGCCGCATCCGGTGTTGTCGGGGGGGCAGGTGTGCTGTATGTCCACCCACCTGTAGGAAGGGGAGGGAAGGCAGTTGGGGGGGGGAGGGAGTGGGAGAAGGGGGGGAGGGAGTGGGAGAAAGGGGGGAGGGAGTGGGAGAAGGGGGGGAGGGAGTGGGAGAAGGGGGGAGGGAGGGGGAGAAGGGGGGAGGGAGTGGGAGAAGGGGGGAGGGGGGAGAAGGGGGGAGGGGGGTGGTGAAGAAGGGGGGGAGGGGGGGTGGTGAAGAAGGGGGGGAGGGGGGTGGTGAAGAAGGGGGGAGGGGGGGGGTGAAGAAGGGGGGGAGGGGGGTGGTGAAGAAGGGGGGGAGGGGGGGTGGTGAAGAAGGGGGGAGGGGGGTGGTGAAGAAGGGGGGAGGGGGGGTGGTGAAGAAGGGGGGGAGGGGGGTGGTGAAGAAGGGGGGGAGGGGGGGTGGTGAAGAAGGGGGGGAGGGGGGTGGTGAAGAAGGGGGGAGGGGGGGTGGTGAAGAAGGGGGGAGGGGGGGTGGTGAAGAAGGGGGGAGGGGGGTGGTGAAGAAGGGGGGGAGGGGGGGTGGTGAAGAAGGGGGGGAGGGGGGGGGTGAAGAAGGGGGGAGGGGGGGGGGTGAAGAAGGGGGGGAGGGGGGTGGTGAAGAAGGGGGGAGGGGGGGGGTGAAGAAGGGGGGAGGGGGGTGGTGAAGAAGGGGGGAGGGGGGGGGGTGAAGAAGGGGGGGAGGGGGGGGTGAAGAAGGGGCAGGTCGCCGGGCAAAACGTGTTGTTGCGGAAGGGAAGGGGCGCGAGATGCCGCACCCGGCGCTCTCAGGGGGCAGGTGCGTTGAATGCCCGCCCACATGGAAGTGAGAGGGGGAAGACAGGGGAGTGGGGGCGAGGTCGGATGGGAGAGGGCACAGACGTGTTGTTGCGGAAGGGGCAGGCGATGCCGCAGCTAGTGGTGTCAGGGAGGGCGGTGTGTTGAATGCCCACCCGACTATGAGCGGGAAAAGGGGAGGCGGAGGGGGAAGAGAAGGGGGGTGAAGAGGGATCGACCACATAATGTTTTGTTGTGGAAGGGACGGGACAGACTGTGGGTGTGCTAGCTGTATGTCTTCCCCCAGCTGGGAATGACAGGGAAAGAGAAGGAATGCGGGGGGTTAGAGGGAGAGTGAAATAGAGTGCAGGCAGAACAGAGTACGGAAAGGGGGTGGGGAACGTACAGGCAGGAAGGAAGGAGGGGGAGGGAGGAGCAAAAACCAAGCATATTCGTTACAGGCCAGTGTTTGCTGTGAACGAGGTATTCATTTTGCAGCTACAAGCATTCACCTTGCAAGTGAATGTTGGCAGGCGAGAAGGGAAGGGAAGTGCAGGTGAAAAAAAACAAGAACAAGGCTCGACTGACTTGCAAGTAGAGGTGTTCACTCATAAAGGCCAGTCAAAGCATGGAGTGCAACAATGCAATCCTGTAGGAAGCTTCTGAGAACTGCCCTTCTATCTCTACTGTCAGGAGCCATGGTGATGCAATGAGCGCAGCTTGTTCTGAGGCGTCTCGAGTGTGAGGAGTCGTCTATTTTTTAGGTGCCTCAAAAATAGGCGCCCAAAAAATGAGACGCCTCAAAACTGCCCTTCTAGCACACGGACGGAGCCATGGTGATGCGATGAGCTAAGCTGTGGTTTTGAGGCGACTCAAAACTGCACTTTTACCACACAAAGACACAAATGCAACCAATCCAGCTGGCAGCTGTCAACTGGGACCAATCGTGCATACACTGGTACTGCAGGGTGTTTTTTAGAATTCTCAAAAACCCTGAAACATGAATACAGCAACATGGGGCCTGGCGTATTTTCTTACAGGCCGGTCAGCAACAGGGAAGTCATCTTACCGACAGAGGGATGGCGTGTTCACTTACAGGCCGGTCAGGGCAGGAAAAGCACCAAAGCCAGCCGGTCAAGGCAGTTTCTGAGTCGATTTTTGAGGCGCCTCAAAAACCAATTGTGCACTTTTACATAGGACTACACACTGGTACCTGAATACAGCACCATGGGGCCTGGCGTGTTCACTCACAGGCCGGTCAGTGCAGGGAAAGCACCGAAGCCAGCAGGCAGTGGACCGCTCAGCTGGTTGTTGCCAAGCTGGCTGGATGGGGCAGGGAGGGAGGGAGGGAGGGAGGGAGGGAGGGAGGGAGGGAGGGAGGGAGGGAGGGAGGGAGGGAGGGAGGGAGGGAGGAGGGAGGGAGGAGAGGGGGAGAAGGGGGGTGGAAGGGGGTGTGAGGGAAGGGATTGCTGGGGCATTTCAAGCAGGCAGCTGGCCACTCAGCTGGTTGTTGCCGAATTGGCCGGATGGGGCAGGGAGGGCGGGATGCAGCAGAGGATTGAATGGATGGAGATGGAAAGGAAAGGAAAGGATAAACAAAACGAAAGAAAAGAAAAGAAAATACAGGAAAATATAAACAAAAATAGGAATTTGTTCATTGTGTGAGCATATTTTCAACGGAGACGCAAACTACGAAAACACAAAAACAAGGAGATTCGTGTCAAACCCTTGTATGCAGGTCCGCTGCACTCACAGCCATTGCAGCTGCACTCACAGCCATTGCAGCTGCTTCAGCTGGGAAAAGGAAGTAGGGATGGAGCCAGTGAGGTAGTTGTCGTTCAGCTGCCTGCGGGAGGAAAGGTAGGGGGGGTAAGGTAGGAGGAAATGTAGTGAGGCAAGGTAGTGAGGCACAGAAGAGGCAGGAGTGTAAGCAGCACAACCAGGAGTTCGGCGGGCTATAGGCTGGTGTTAGGCGGGCGTTAGGGGGGAGCGTTAGGTGGGGTGTTAGGCGGGGGTGTTAGGCGGGGTGTTAGGCAGGGGTGTTTTGCGGGGGCGTTAGGCGGGCGTTAGGCGGGCGTTAGGTGGGGGGCGTAAGGGTCGAGCAGGGGCGGGGAGGGGAGGAGGGTGGCAGGGGAGGGAAGGGGGAACGGGAGGGGAGTAGGTGCAGTGCGGTACAGATGTTGCAGGTTGATTCGGCTCCGCAGTTCAGCAGGGGCTGGGAAAGGCCGGAGAGGGAGAGGAGAGGCGGTGGGAGGAGGTGGAGGGAGAGAGGAGAGGCGGGTGGGGGCAAGCGAGGTGGGGGGAGGCGAGGTGGGGGAGGAGGGGGGGGGGGAGAGGGGGAGAAGGTGCGTGGCGTTACAGGTACTGCAGGTTGATGAGGTGAAGTGCCCGTCTCAGCAGGAATGGATCCGGTGAAGTGGAGAAGGGAAGGGGGAGGTTGATGGAAGCTGGTAAGGTTGACAGTTAAAAGGAGGGTGCGGTACGTTGCGGCTTACAGGTATTGCAGGTTGACGAGGTTTCCGATCTCAGCAGGAATGGATCCCGTGAAGTGGTTGGACGCCAAGTCCCTGTGAGACGGAGGGGCAGGAGGGGCAGGAGGCGGAGGAAGGAGGAGGAGTGAGTTGAGGGCCCTAAAGCACCGATGAAGTATTTGGACGCCAAGCCTCTGAGAGACAGATGGGAAGGAGGGGCATGAGGCGCAGGAGAGAAGGAATTGGGACGAGAAGGCGAATGAAAAAAACACCGATTATATTCGCACCAGAAGCAGTAAGACTGGTTTTATTCGCAGCGAACTTCAACGTTTTCTGCTTCGCTCTTCATCCCGAGCAGAGTTCCTGGATTCTCGCGCTCTTTTCTTCGCACGATTGCGTGCCCGCAGTTACCCAGTGAAATTCCTGCTTCCAGTCTTCAAGTCCGTTTCTTTTTTGGACAGAGCTACCCTCCTTCAACACGCTTCTTCTCTTCGATAGACTTCGACTCGTGGCCCCCTTGTGCTGAAATGCCTGCTCAACCCGCTGGTTGACCGTTCACACTTGGGGTCTTTTTTTAGTCGACTCAAAAATCACCTACGGATATTGTCACACGAGACATTTGAAGATCGGCGTGCTATTATCGCGTGGAAGCTTCCGAAGCGTACAGGAAATTATTTAGTTTCAGCTAGAAAGTGTTAGGTGTAGCTACGCTTGTTTCATTTTTTCGAGCCTAGAGGTTCGGACTCCGAGAATTCCCTTGAGCCGCATTTTGGCCTTGGGAGGTTCCTGAGCTCCTGCCTATTTAGCCTTGCTCATTTGCTCTTTTGTGTATGGTCTGATGAAGGCAGCCACCTGCCGAAACTAGTTACCATCATTTTTGCCCTACAAATTCACGAGAGTTTTTCTGAGCAAGAATTTTTCTAAAACAACAGTGTTTTACCGCCCGCTGCCACGTATGGCTAAAACCACCACCAAGTGGTGTTCTTTCAATTGGGACGAGAAGGCGAATGAAAAAAAACACCGATTATATTCGTTCTTGAAATTCCATGGTTGCTATATTCCAGGAAGAACCCTTACAGCAAGAAGAAAAAACTTTCGCAGAATAAATGTTTTGCCAAAAAAAAGGCTTTCCTTACAGCGATGTGAGTCTGAGGAGCCTTCCTAGCGACACTGGCAGATAGCTGTCGAGCACGTTCTTGTCCAACTGCCTGCGGACGGGGAAAACAAGCAGAAAAACAAGCGGAAAAACACGCGGAAAAACAAGGGGGGGAGAAAAAAGGGGGAGAAACAAAAGCAAAAGACAGCAGCTGGAGATCACATGGAAGGAGAGCACGTGGAAGGAGAGCACATGGAAGGAGAGCACGTGGAAGGAGAGCACGTGGAAGGAGAGCACATGGAAGGAGACAGCCAAGGTGTTGGCGCTGCGAAGTGCAGCTAGGGTGTTGGGCGACGAGCAAGCATCGTCCAAAAACGAAAGTAATTTAGTTCTGAGGCGTCTCAAAACTATGGAAGAAGACAGCTAAGGCGCTGGCGCTGCAAGGTGCAGCTAGGGTGTTGTGCGACGAGCAAGGAACAGCGGTTACTTTTGAGTCTAGGGTTTAGGGTTTAAGGTTTAGGGTTTAGACTCAAAAGGCGCTGGCGCTGAAATGTGCGGCTAGAGTGTTGTGTGACGAGTTTTGAGTCGACTCAAAAGTCGGCTAGAGTGTTGTGCAACGAGCAACGGAAAAGCTGTGCTGCAAAGTGGACCGAAGTGTGAGCTCATGGTGCAGCATTTTGCAGCCGGATTAGTGTGCCTGTAGCGGAGTGTGGCTATAGTGGAGTATGCCCATAGTGCAGCGTGCCTACAGCGGAAGGATCACTCACAGCCGTTGCAGCTTGGTGAGTGTGCCTATAGTGGAAGGGATCGGCCCAGTCAACCCATTGGCACTCAAATCACTGTTCATTCCGGGGGAAGAAAGGGGGAGAGGTGGGGAGAAGAGGGGGGAAGAGGGGGGAGAGGGGGGCAGAAGGGGGCGGGAGGGGGGTAGACAAGAAGGAGGGGGGAGAGGTGGACCAATGAAAGCGAAGTGTGAGGCGAGATGTGCAGACGACATGGAAATACAGCCACACTCACATCGCATCGCTCTCTATAATCACATCGCTCGCCATAGTTACATCACCAAATGGTGGTGCTATCACGTTGTTATAATCACACCGCGAGTCCATCAGATCGACCGGCTCACATGCTGGTGAGATTAACTAGTCCGCTGATGGATTCAGGCAGCGAGGCGAGGTACTGGAGTGACTTGTGAGTCGACTCGAAAGTCTCCTACGGCCGCACTCACACGTCACAGCGTCACACTCACATGCTGGTGAGATTTACGAGTCCACTGATGGATTTAGGCAGCGAGGCGAGGTGACCTTTGAGTCTCCCTACTCAGCCCAAGATGCAAGCCCCCCACCTGCACACCTACTCAGCTTCATTTAAAGTCTCCTACGGCCGCACTCACACATCCCAGCGTCACACTCACAGCGTCACACTCACAGCGTCACACATCCCAGCGTCACACATCCCAGCGTCACACTCACAGCGTCATACTCACATGCTGGTGAGATTAACGAGTCTTAAACGACGGCCACACGCACACATCGCATCGCCACACTCACATGCTGGTGAGGTTGACGAGTCCGCTGATGGATTCAGGCAGTGAGCCGAGCAGATCGCTGGCGCCCAAGTTGCTGCAGCAGGGGTTGATGGTGTGAGAGGAGGGTGGACTCAGGAATCGATTTGGTGTTGAAATGCAAGAGATCGAACTTTTGTGTCGACTCCAAGGACGCGAGAGCGCGCGGGGCTTTCTGAGGGCGGGGGGGTTAAGCCGCATGCGGTAAGGCGAACTCGGAAAGGCCCACGGGGAAAGGCGCACGGGGCAAGGCGCACGGGTTTCACCTTCCGCCCGCTTTTTACTCGTCTGGTAGCAGTCGCTCCTTTCTCCCATGCGTCCTGCTTTAGACTCGCTAGCTTTCCGACGTAAAGCTCCTCACTAAAAGAATATTCATACGGCTGTTATCACGCAGTCGCTGTCACGCCAGAAAAGGCTCGCCTTGTAGCAGTCGCCGCTTTCCCCCCACGCGGAGCATTTGAGCTTGCAGAACGTTCTCGTTCTCGTTACACGCAGTCTCACATGGTCGTAATCATGCGTCGCTATCGCACCCCAGAAAGATCTTTTAACCGCCTTCCTAACTGAGCCCACTGGAACTATGTCCGCAGTCTCACATGGTCGTAATCATGCGTCGCTATCGCACCCCAGAAAGATCGCCTTGTAACAGCCGCCACCTCCTCCCCCCCCCCCCACCTTCCCTCTACTCCCCTTCCCCCACCTCTCACCCCCCCCCGAGCAGTTCAACATACAATACGTCTTCGTTATAGGCCGACTCACATCTCAGTTATCATGCCGTCGCCGTCGCACCGCAGAAAGCTCGCCTTGCCACAGTCGCCGCCCTCCCCCCACGCGGAGTAGTTTAGCCCAAAAGCCGCCTGCAAGTCAGACAACGCGGGCACTGGCGGGAGACTCCCGGGAAGGCAGGCGCGCGGGCAAAGTGAAGAGGGCGGGCGGGAAGGAGAATTACACGAGTGAATAGAGGCCCCGCTCCGCCTGCATGCCCGCCAACGAGGTAACTTTTGAGTCGACTCAAAAGTTGCCCCTGCACCGCCAACGCAGGGACTGGCGGAACGGACGGAAGGCGGGGAAGGCGCGGGCGCGGGAGCACGGGAAGAGGGGAAGAGGGGGTGGGGGAGAATGGAATTGCGCGGAAGGCAAGGGCGCGACAAAGGGGAGTTGAGCCTCCACGCCGCCTGCATGTCTGCAATTGCCGCCACTGGCGGAACAAGCGGAAGTGAATGCCGCGGGCAGCGGCGGAAAAGCACGCATGGCGCGAACGGTCGGGCGGCGGGTCCCGAGCGATACGAGGTGAGGGACATAGGCAAGAGACGACGATAGCAGAACAGCTTTAACCCATGCGAGGACGCGAAATTGGCATAAACGGTGTTTTGCCACCTAGAAGCAGCGCAGCGGAGGAACTCTAATTCCACTAAATAAGTCCCTAGTTGCCGTACATACGTTGTGAAGTGTCGATCGACGTTGCAGCTACACACGTAGCGGCGGCTACGGCTAGACTCAGCACGGCGAGCAGCCTAGCGACTCGTAACGCCATTTGTTTCCTGAATGTGTAACAAAAATTATGGGATACCCGCAGAGACTACCTACACGCAGTGATTTCCGTAACCAAGAGCCGTTATATAGCGGTAAAGGGGACGAAAAAATACAAGGTTTTTACCGCCTAGGACGGCATACGAGAATGAGTGAGGAGCAAAGTGCAAGGTTTTGGTTCACCAAATGCTGGGCGTGAGTTGTGCTGGGTGAGAGACGATGAAGCGATGGAGGAAGTGGAGGGAGGACGAGAAGGGAGTGGGGAAAAGGAGGTATAGGGGGGCGAGAGAAAAGGGTGGGAGGAAGGCATGGAGGGTTGACACGAGGAAAGACGGGACGGAATGGGCGAGGAATTTTTGGCCAAAGCGGGATTGACGCAAGGAGAAAATCGACGCGAAGCGCGCATGTCTCGCAGCGACCGAAGCGCTTGACCAGGTTCGAGGGCGCTGCCGGGGCAGATGCAAGCAACAATTTCTCGAACAAGTTGGGTAAAAGCTTACCCTGATTCGGTGAAAGCTGGAAAATGTTTTCGTGTTTTTCACACAAGCCGGAACAGCCCTGGTTTGGAATGCCCGAAGCACGCCCACAAAACCACGTCCGATCAAAATCAGCGTGAGTTTCGGCTAGTTTCGGTCAATCGTCTATGATCATATGCGTTTAGCACAGCATGTGAAGAGTACACACGATGTATGAAAACGATATGAAGGGAACTGGAGATGATTTACAACTTTCATAATACACGAGTGCTGCTTTGCATGCGGTACCCGCATGCCCATAAAATTTTACATTCCAGTTCTGTTGAGTATCAATTTGTTTCATTCCATTTCTGTGGAGTTCGTGCTTTGTTGAGTGCTCATGTTTTGCCAAATCCATGTTATTTCTTTTTTCTGGCACGCGTAACAAAGGGCTGATCTCGCGCAATGGGCTGATCTCGCGCAATTTTTGTATCCCTGGTATCTGTTTCATTCGTCGCCTCTGAATTCCGTCGCGTGTTTGAAGCCCCCAAATGTTTTCGCCTAGCTAGACGTCAAAGTTTGCCTATTTCCCGCCTTTTTTCCCGGGCTCGGCGCGCTTCGGACAGACAACCCCTTCGAGATTTCATAGTATTAGATACTATTGGGAGCTCGCATCTATCAAGTAATATCAAAAATTGTTGAGGGCTTCTATGATGTGTATGTTGTATCCTATATAAATCATGCCCTTTATATATTTTATATCGAGTGGCAAGCTGAACCTTGGACAAGACCTACGCTATGCCAGATTGAGTAGGCGCGTTGCTTCGACCATATCGAATCAGGTCTTGCTTGGACCCCTGTCGGCTGACAAAACCCGCTGCCGCCTCCACCTTTGTGTGGCTGGTGGTTGGGTGATACTGTTCGGATGGCATGCCGAAACTAAATTGGCCAATTGCAGCCCTGGATTGGCCTTACGCGGCAGCCTACTGTGCTGTACAAGAAACCTGAACGAACGTACTCGATGTCGAAAGAGTTCAACGGCTGCGATCTGCCGAGACTCCGTGCGAGGTCTCGATCTTGACAGGGTTAGGATGAAGCGTCTCGCATCCGCCAAACCTTTCTTCTGTCTCATGAGTCGTGATGTGGCTCGAGCTGGTTTGACGACACTGTAAGTGGGTGAGTGAAGAAAGGACAGTCACAGGCGGAGGACCTTGTCGTGTGGTACTGTTGGGTTCCGCTCGGTCGGTAGGGATGGTGGTGGGCGAGAAAGCACGCCACACACCACCATAGCCATCTCTCCGCTTCCTCTCCCTCTTCCTATTCTGTTCATGTGTCTGTTCCTACTGGTCTTCCTTCAGTAACCTCCTCTCCCTCACGCTCTGCAGTGCTATGCTTCAGTTCCCTCACATCATTTGCCCCCCATTGCCGATTCTGCACCTGTCGCCAGACTCAGATTTCAGGGAGGGTAGCGTTGAATAACTCAGTTGTCTGTCGGGAGCAGCAACAACGATGGACGATGCTGAAGCGTTAGCGCGGTCCTCGCCGCCTCCGCAACAGCCTTCCCTTGCACGATCTAACTCTCTCAACGGCCTCCCAAGCAACCAAAGAAGGGATGAAACGCCATCGTCGCAAGATGACACTCCGTTTTCCGAAACCCTAACCATACCCATGTCCTCCTCTGAACCTCACTCTCAGCCAATCACACGTTCCGAGTCCAACCCGGACACGCTCTCTCTCGCCCAAGCCACGTCATTTCTGGTCCAAGCCACGTCATCCCTGGAGCAAGCCACGTCATCGAGCCTTCGTCTGTCCTCTCTGAGCGTCTCCCCGCTCTCCGTCCCCGATTGCGAGCTAAGGCGGGTTCGCACGCAGCCGTGGATTTCCACCAGCTGTGTCAGCGAAGCTTCGTCCGGGGCACTGTCAAAGGCTTTAATCTCTCCGAAGAAATTACCGATCTCTCAGCAGCCTACTTATTCTCCAATCCGAGTCGCCGCTAGCTTGTCTGCTAGCGCCGGAAGCAACCTTAGAGGCACGGGGACTCCCCCTAGCGTTTCTGCGGGCGGTGGCTCCAGCGCTGCGAAACGGGCGAGTTCGGGTTACCAGAGCGCGGCGGATTCGTTTCACCAGTGGGCGAACGGGCGGTTCGGCAAGCGAGTGGCGGAATTTATCCCTAATTTCGCCATCGCACTCACTATCTATCTCGCCGTGCACGCCTTCGTGCTCCCGTCGACACTCCCAAGGTGAGCCACTTCGGATCGTGTTGATGGATCTCGCTTGCTCTGATACTTCGCATTGGCGTCATTCGCTCGAGCTATTGTCATTCCAATCGAGTCGCTATATTTGCCATCTAGACCACATGCATCCGTCGGTAACCTAAAAACCGGGCTCCCTTTTATCCTCCCGGGGGTCCTCCCTCCCCTCGACTTTCCCTCCCCTAGACCCTCCCCCCCTCTTCCCTCCCCTTCCCCCCCCCCCCCCCTTCCACAGGCATCACCGCTCTCTCCGCGCAGTCAATCCGTCCGCCGCGAGATCCGGCGCTGGTCACGGCGCCGGCGACGGCGCGTCGCCAGGCGAGGCGTCGTTCCCCGGGATGGACGACTGGCCGGATGCACACCCTCCCTCCCCTTTTTGAGAATTCTCAGAAATTACTCCTCTTACCCACCCTCCCCTTGACGCCCCCTCCCCCCCCCCCACAGGCATCAGCGCTCCCTTCGCGGAACCGACCCCACCGCCGCGAGATCCGGCGCTGGTCACAGCGCCGGCGATGCCGCGTCGTCAGGCGACGCGTTTCCCGGGATGGATGACTGGCTGGACTCTTACCCTCCCTCCCCTTGACGCCCCACCCTCCCCTTGACGCCCCCTCCCCCGCACAGGCATCAGCGCTCTCTCCGCGCAGCCAATCCCTCCGCTGTACGCTCCGGCGCCAATCACCGCGACGGCGCGTCGTCAGGAGAGGCATTCCCCGGGATGGACGACTGGCCGGACGCGCCGAGCCTGCCACGTCGGCGCATCCTGCGAGCGTCGGCGTCGTCGGACGAGCTGGTCGACGTGGATGATCTCGACATGGTCCACAACCAGAACATGCCGCTCCCTGATTGGGCGAGACACATCCCCTCTATGACCATCTTCTGCGCTCCGAAGCCGTACTTAAATATCCCAGAAGACCCGCAGCGCCGCGCGTTACTCTCCTGGCTGCGCCTCCGCCCCCAGCCTAAAGTCGTCCTCTTAGGATCCGATCCGAGCTTCGACCAGCTCGCGCAGGAGTTCCCAGGGTCGGTCTTCGTCGACTCGACTATAGATACTAATTTCTACGGCGTGCCGCTTTTCCACGCCATGGTCGCGCGCGCGCAAGCCGCGGACACTCCGCTCTCGATGCTGATCAACGGCGATATCATCCTCCTCTCCGATATAGTCCCCGCGATCGGGCGCGTGCAGGCGTTTTTTAAAGAGTGGATCCTGACCGCGTCGCGATGGGACGTGGCGGTGGATTTTCCGTACTCGTTTGAGAAAGACGCGTGGCGGCGGAAGCCCGGGCCGGTGGGAATGATGGCGGAAGCGCAGCGCGAGGCGGAGATCCGCCGGTTCGTGCGCCGTGAGGGGAGTCTGCACACTTATGGCGGCGTGGATCTTTGGGTTTGGAACAACGTCCCGAACGTTCCGCTTTTCTCGGCGCACATGCCGCCGTTCTCGTTCGGGCGCGGGAAATACGATAACTGGTTCGTTCACGAAGCCGTGGCGAGCGGGCTGCGACAGGTGGTGGACGTGAGCGACGCAATCACGAGCATCCACGTGGCGCACACGTATTCGCACATCAAGGTGGAGGAGAGCAAGGCGGGCGGGCATTTTTGGAGCACGCGGAAGAAGAGCAGCTGGGAGCTCTTTGCTAACATACACTTAGCTGAGACCCACGGCACTTACACCAACCAGAAGGGCACGGCTCTGCACACGCCCTGGCGGCTCTCGTCCTGCTACGAACCCGATTGTGAGTGATCCGTTTCTTTCAATAACGTTTTTGCTCTCCATTGGCCTTCCTCTTTCCCTCACCCTCCCCCGTTTTCCCGCCTCTCCCTACCCCGCCTCGCCTCTTTCGGCCGGTCCTCCCGTCCACTCTGCCCCTCCGTTCCTCCGCATTCTCCCCCCAAGCCTTGTTGGATTTCAGCCTTCTGTCTTTCTCCCTCTTTTCAGTCCAGTGAAATCCCTGTAAGCCCCTTTATTCACCTTATCCAGGACGAGGCAAACACCCTTCTTCTGCATCCTCTCCAGCCAGCCCACTCAACACACCCCTGCTCGCCCTCCCTTCACCCCCTCCCTTCCTCCAACCACCCCTTCCCCCTCTCTTCGGCCTCCTCCCTCCCTCCAGCTCCGAACATATGCATGTCGAAGTGACAGCGACCAGCCAACTGTTTGTGCGAGTACTCCGCCTGTGAGTACGAGACCCAGTCGGACCCCCACAAGCACCACCAAGACTTCCTTTTTCTCTGCTTCCCCCCCCCCCCCCCCCTCCCTTTCTCCGCTTACCCCCCCCTTCCCCAGCTCTCAACATTTGTATGTTGAAGCACGAGAGACGAGCCAACTGCTCGTGCGAGTGCTCGGCCTACGAGTACAAGACCCAGTCGGACCCCTGCAAGCACCACACGTGTTTCAAACACTCCTCTTCTTTTCCTCTTAATATTTCCCCTCCCCTCTCCCCCTCCCCCCCTCCCCCTCTCAGCTCTGAACATCTGCATGCTCAAACGCGAGAGACCAGCCAACTGCTCGTGCGAGTACTCAGCCTACGAGTACAAGACCCAGTCGGACCCCCGCAAGCACCACTCGGGCGACTTCTGGGTGTGCGGGGTGGTCTCCATCGACCGCCGCGCCGACTTCGCAATCAACGCCGTGGCCCGCACCAACTCCACCGTCGGTCTCCCCCACACCATGGAGCAGCTTCTCCCACAGCTAGCCAGGGTCGTCCCGGACGAGCCGTTGTCTCGGCAGGTGAAAGCTGGATCGACGGCAGCAGGGAAGGCTGCTGGGGTGGGGAGCCTGCCTAAGGACCTGAAGGTGGTAACACTCGTTGCGGTTACGTTTGGCTACGCGGAAATGCTGATGAATTTCGTGTGTAACTTACGGAAGCTCGGGCTCGGGGACAACCTTGTGGTTGCCGCGCTCGACGAGGACTTGTACCGATTCGCATTCACCCAAGGCCTGGCGGTGTTTTACGAGCGGGCGAGTACGACTATGAGGGGGATAGATCAGGGTCAGTGCCAGTTTGGCACCAAGTGCTTCCGCCAATTCACAAAGCTCAAATCGCGTGCCGTGCTTCGGGTTCTCAAGGCCGGGTACTCCGTCCTCTGGTCCGATGTGGACATCGTATGGTTCGCCGACCCTCTCCCGCACCTGCTGTCGTACGGGCCTGGCACGTTCCCGATCCAGAGCAACGAGCCTAACGCCACGCTGCCCGGCACGGGCATCCGGCGGATCAACTCGGGGTTTTACTTCGCGAGGGCGGATCCGATGACTGTGAAGGCGTTTGAGGCGATCGTGGCACACGCAGCCAAGACGCAGCTGTCCGAGCAGCCGAGTTTTTATGACGTGCTTTGCGGGGATAATGGCGAGCTGCTGCTTCCAGGAAGCGTGGCGGATGCTGGAGGGAGGAGGGTTCAGCGGGAGGAGTGTCAGTGGAGCAACGGGTTGAGGACGATTTTTCTCCCGAGAGATAAGTATCCGAACGGGGCTGTGCATGATTTCTGGAACCAGCCGAATGTTGCGAATGCGTGCAGCGGGTGTACGATTCTGCATAATAATTGGATTTCGGGGAAGGAGGCGAAGAAGGACCGGCTGGTGAAGAATAGGTTTTGGTTTTACGACTCGTCACGGCGCATGTGCATCCATGACTGGCATGCGATGCTGAGGGAGAGGTTTGGGGATGAGATGGGCGTGGGGAAGAGCACGGATGCTGCTTCGGGTGTTGGTCCAAAGAGCTGACATTTTCAGGGGATGTTTCTGTAGAGGTCTCTATGACATTCTCCGTGTGGGGGTGTTAGCCCTACCTTGTTTATACTTCAGATATGGTATGTATGTGTTGAATGTTCTGCATAATTATTTGTAATCATAGTGTGGAAGAGTTCTCACCTGAGCGCCAAAGTCGGCCAATTGATGTGCTGCCTTCGGGAATTCCGACGAAGTTTACCAGCGGCATTGACGCTGGTTCCTCCAGCCGCCAGTGAACCGACCAAGCGAGGGAAATAACGAAGGAAAGTTACAGCCAAGCAAGGAATCTGGCGGGGGACAGGGTTCTTCTGGCTGGATGCGGCGAATTGCGAGATTTGTTTCGCGAACACCGAGGGATTGTGCTCAGGCAAAGCTGCCGATCTCTTTACAGGCAAGCGTCGGCACGTGCGAGGGCGCTCAACAGCCAATCATAAGCGGCGCTTTCTCACGCGTGGCTCGTGTTTTGGCTAGGGCTCTCCAGCAGCGAAGGGAGACGCGGCTGACGAGACAAATCCTGCGCCACATTCTGGTGGTGACGTGGCGAGGAGCCCCAATCACCTAACCCGGACCCGGATCGCGCAGCGACGCCAGCGCATTTCCTCGTGAACCATCGCTGACAGCCGCGGTCAGGGTCTTTATCCAATAATATCGCGAACGAATTCTATGTAGCATGTCATCAGACACTGGCTTCGCGAAAATCTATCGCACGGCTATTCTCATATCTCCCCCGTATTTATTCTACAACCACCTCTATCTATCCATTCTTCCTTTTTCCTTTCACCCTTGGCTAGTTTGGCAGCCATAGTTTTGCGCTTCTTTCTCTTGCTTTACCAATAATCCCTTCCGCTTCGTGAGGAATACACAGGACCCTGTTCACGTCTGCTCTCGTTCGAAACCATCGGCTGAGAACATTCAGGCACCGCACCAGCCGTTGACGCCATGGCTTCGACAACCATCGTGTGTCCGACTCATTCTCTCGTGCGCACTGGCGAATCCGCGGCCTTCAGAAACTCCGGCTTTTCCTCCTCGGATCTGCACTCGCCGCTCGTGCCAAAAACTCTTCCTCTTCTGAGCCACGTGGCAGCCCAGCCGCGCTCTGCACGGTCCACGTGTCAACCTGCCATTACTTCCCAGCTTCTCAAGAGCGGCGGTGGCGCAGCGCGCCGTCGGCTCAACCTGCTCGGCCTCGGGGTCGTTCCCCCCACCGGGAATTCCGGCGGCTCTTCCGCCGCATCCGCCGCTGTCGCGCCTACTACTGCGCCGGCAAACGCGGAGAAAAGTACATCATCCGTCGATGTCGAGAAGCTTCGCGAGCAGCTGCTTCGCGAAGGCTTCGTCGTTCTTAAAGACGCGCTTCCGCAATCAACGGAATGGGCCGAGCCGCCGAAGCTTCCCGCGCAGCTCTTCCCAACCACACTCTCCGAATCCGAATCCGACTCGGATAGTGGCGCTTCGGACACAGAGTTAATATCCTCTCCCGCGTCGCTAATCGCCAAGATTCTCCTGCCATCTCTGCCGGCCGCCGCGCTCCGAGTGGTGGAGGAGGTGACGGGGACGAACGTGGATCAGGGGCCTGCCACGTGGCACACGGTGGTTCGCCCGTGGTCTGCTGGCCTGGGCTGCTTGGACGGGAAGTCGTGCGAGGACCCCAGCTTCGTCAGCAACAGTTGGCAGGTCGCCTGCACGCCGCCTGGTGACGTGGAGCTGAGTCGGCAGCGCCTGGACGATGCGATCCTAACAGTGGTGGTTGCCGCCCAAACCGGCACGCCAGGCTCGCCGTCCAACGCCGGTGAGTGCCGCCCAGAAAACCCTTTCATGATGAAAAGCCTTGTTTGTGTTCCAACACTCCTTCCCTCGGACACGCCACTCACTGATGGATTGCACCTCTGACATCACAGTTGAAACGCCACGGCGGTCGTCGATTAGGGTGTCCTCGCAGATAGGCGACAGGTGATAGGCGACAGGTGATAGGCGACAGGTGATAGGCGACAGGTCATTCTTCTTAAGAGAAAAACCTTTCATGATGCTTTCTTTGTGCTCCGACTCTCCTTCCCTCAGACACGTCAGCATCTGGCCAGCTGGCGATCTTCCCGCACAGCCATTGGCTCGTGGCAGACTGGCTGGATGCGGCTGACAAAGAGCCGTCCTTGAACCTGTTCCCCCGCCCAAACCAGCTTCCTCTCCCTGCTCCCATCAAGGTAAGTCCGGAATATATCTCCCAGGGAACATTTTAAAGGAATATATCTCCTAGGGAACATTTTAAAGGAATATATCTCCTAGGGAATGTTTCTAAGGAATATATCTCATAAGGATGAGGGGTCAGTATTCGTAAACAATTTCCGGTCAGGGTTCCTTTGTCTAATTTTCCTTAGGCCAACATGCAGAGTTGAGAGCTCACAGTCTCGGTCAAGCTGCCTCAGAATTGAATGTTGGTTTATTCCCTCTGTCCTTTCCCCCACCTACCCACACCGCAGGTCTCCCTCTCCCCCTCCGACCTCCTCCTCCTCCACCCCTGGGCAGTCTTCTCCCTCCTCCCCAACCCCTCCTCCTCCTCCTCCTCCCTCTGCTTCGACTCGCTCCTCCTCCCCTCCCCACCCGAACCCCTCACCCCTCCCTCCCCCTCCTCCCCATCCTCCTCCGCACCTGCCATCCAATCAGCAGCAGTTGCCGCAGCGCCCTACCGCATGTGGGCCAGCGCGCCCGCGCCAGCCAATCAGGAGGTCTCTGCTGACGTGGCAGCGAAAACTTTCACCCTGCCCCCAGAGCTGAACGAGCAGGAGCTGGAGGCACTAGAGGAGGAAGAGGAGAAGGCAAACCTCGGGAACTGGGCCGTTGCCATGCTGGACAAAGCAGCACCATCAGCATCAGCAGCGGTCTCGTTTCCCCACGCGGACGCACGCAGCCTCATTCTGTGGCGCCTCACTTCAAGTGCCAGGGACCTTTTGGACGCTGGAAGGTTTGAGGAGGCACTCCCAGTGCTGCGGCGGGCCGTGGGGCTCAGGCCCTCGGACGCGTGGCTGTACTACCAGGCGGGCAGGAGCGGCGAGCAGGCGGCCCCCAAGGGGCAGCTGGCGGGGCGAGCTGGGCGGAAATGCATGCTGGAAGACTCGGAGCGCTTCCTGCTGCGCGCCATCGAGGTACGTACTTGATTTCAAGGTGGGGTTAAGGGCGGTCGGGCTAAGACCATCGGAGGCATGGCTCTACTACCAGGCGGGCAGGAGTGGCGAGCAGGCGGCCCCCAAGGGGCAGCTGGCGGGGCGGGCGGGGAGGGATGCTGGAAGACTCGGAGCGCTTCCTGCTGCGCGCCATCGAGGTACGTACTTGATTTCAAGGTGGGGTTAAGGGCGGTCGGGCTAAGACCATCGGAGGCATGGCTCTACTACCAGGCGGGCAGGAGTGGCGAGCAGGCGGCCCCCAAGGGGCAGCTGGCGGGGCGGGCGGGGAGGGATGCTGGAAGACTCGGAGCGCTTCCTGCTGCGCGCCATCGAGGTACGTACTTGATTTCAAGGTGGGGTTAAGGGCGGTCGGGCTAAGACCATCGGAGGCATGGCTCTACTACCAGGCGGGCAGGAGTGGCGAGCAGGCGGCCCCCAAGGGGCAGCTGGCGGGGCGGGCGGGGAGGAAGGGCATGCTGGAAGACTCGGAGCGCTTCCTGCTGCGCGCCATCGAGGTACGTACTTGATTTCAAGGTGGGGTTAAGGGCGGTCGGGCTAAGACCATCGGAGGCATGGCTCTACTACCAGGCGGGCAGGAGTGGCGAGCAGGCGGCCCCCAAGGGGCAGCTGGCGGGGCGGGCGGGGAGGAAGAGCATGCTCGAAGACTCGGAGCGCTTCCTGCTGCGCGCCATCGAGGTAAGCTTGTGCTGCGATCTCCCAAATCTGGGTTTGATTTCCTTATGCTGTTATGGTTTGATGTGCGTGCTATTGAGGTGCGTCCTTGGTCTCATGTGCACAGATTCGTCTCAGGTTTCGTGGCATTGCTCCCGTTCCCCCCTCCCGCCCACCCCCCTCCTGCCTCCCTTCCGCGCCCTCCGGCCCAACCCACTGCCGGTTACTATCTTTCCCTCTGTCCTACCCCTCTCCTGCCTCCCTTCCTCACTCTCCAGCCCACCCTACTGCCGGCCACTATTTCCCACACCTCTCCTGCCTGCGTTTGTTTAAACTTGCACAGGTCCCTATCAGTGACAGCGCAGGGACCTTCATTTCCATACCAGCGCCACCCATTCCCCTTAGCTACTCTCACAAATGCTGCTCCCTTCCTCATCTCGTTGTGCCTTTCTCTCTCTCCCCCCCTTATCCTTCTCTGTCTGTTCTTTCAGTTGTCTCCCACGTGGCCTCTTCCCTATGCGTCTCTCATCAACTCGTTAATTGAAATGGTAAGACTCTCCACATAGATTTCGCCCTTCACTCCCTTTCCACACCTTCCCACCACCCCCCCCAACCACTCCCCACCACACACGCACAAGGATGGATGCATGCACGCTTCTAACAACCCTCCTTACAACCCTCCTGCCTGCTCCCTGTTACCTCCACTTCTGGGATCCTTCCTCGCCCAGTCTTGGACCTTCACTCTTCCCACCATAGTCACCCTCTCCACTGCACAATGCCCCCTCCTCTTTCTCCCTTCCCTTCCCCTTCTCCGTCATGCTCCCTACCTCCCATCCCTCCACCTGCGCCTGCCGGCTCGCCCTCTGCTAGGGTCGTGGGAGGGAGGACGAGGCACCGCGGGTGTTGCAGCAGCTGCTGGCAATTCCACGCCTTTCCGCCCAGTGTGCTGCCAATCCCACAATTGCAGCTGCTGTAGACCATGCTGTACAGGTGGGTAATGCTAGATGTTATAATCCGTCATATCCATGTTCCTACTCCCCATGTGTGTTCTGCAACATTTCTCATCCCCTATATCATGTGTTTCATAACATTTCATTGTCCTCGTCGGCTTCTACATTGCTCACCAGAGCGTGGTTCTGTCCTTGGCATCTAAGTCACGAGACGAGGAGGCGCGTGGTACCCAGCAGCTTGCAGAAGCTACCCTGCATGCCCCTGTTTAGCACTTGATATATGATCAGAAAGTGCACTATTTGTGTTTTCGTTGTATGATTTGTCCTATCGGAAATGTGTATTTGTACCGAGTTGAAATGTATTTGATAACTAATGTGTTACTAGCTGTGTCATAACGAATCTCGTGTGACAGAAAGGCCTGATCGTCAGGGGTCAGGATGCCTGATTCGTCAACAATGTAGTGGTACATGTGGCAGCACACATCAGGAATCTTGCAACCTCAGTATTTCCCACCTCACGCATGTGATTGGCGATCCCCCTAGACGAGTTTCAAGGCTGTGTGCAAACCACGAAGCCAACACGTGGGCCACCGGCCACGTAGACCGTTCCGCATGCAAGTAACCTCCCCCATGCGCGGTGACGGTGTGCAAACCAGACGCCGAAGTCCCTCGTCTGACACCTCCTCCGTTTCAACCGTCCCCTCTGGAAGTCCCCTACGGTTCCAGCCTTATTCGTTTGCCTTCAAACCCCTGTCAACCGTTTTGAACAAACATTAAAACTTTTTGACAGCCTAATGAATCTCACAGAACCGCAGTGTTTTGGACTACTGTGACGCACCCCAATTCCGTTGGCCTGTTTCGGAAGCGTGTAAAAGGCGTGCCTGTTTCATCGCTTCTCAAGATTCTTGATTTCCGTCAGCCGCTTTTTTGCTAGCTCAGCGCATTCATAGCTCTGCTGTTAGTGCTGCTCGCTCTTGCTTACTGCCAGCAAGGACACGCTCGCCATCTCAGCAGACCTCTTTTTTTCGTGCCTTTAGCACGCTCCAGCACACAGCTTCGACTAGCTCGAGTGAGTACTCTCCTTTGTTTTTACCTGTCTTGGATCTTACCCAGATTCAGCTTCTTGCTCTATCCTGCTCGTAACTTATCAGACCGCACTCGTTACCTCGCAGATCCCGACGTAATACCGGTTGATCCAGACAAAGAAGAAAAACCAGCCATGGCGGCGTCGCTTTCTTCGTCTGCGGTGCGATCTGTTGCCAGCTTCGGCCAGACCATCGCCGGCGGACGATCCCTATCCCAGACGAAGCCTGCTCCCGCTTTCGTCAAATCCGCAGCTCGTAAGGGCTTTCGCGCGGAGGCGAAGCCTACAGCGGAAGCTACATTGACCGGTGTTGTGTTCGAGCCGTTCGCGGAGGTGCAGAGCCAGCTCACCCAGGTGCCAGCTGTCATCCAGCCGCAGGAGTCGTTCGCCCGGCAGAACTACTCCTCGGCTGCGGAGGCGGGGATTAACGAGCAGATCAAGTGAGTATTCTTGAAGCAGGATCTTCCCCACTGCTAGTGTGTCAACGAGGTTCAGAGGCAGCCTGGTTTCAATGCGTTTCAATGTTTTTTTTAAGGGTGGAGGTGAATGCTGACTGTATCGAGGTTTGGTTTATCCGTGCAGTATCGAGTACAACATCTCGTACGTGTATCATGCGCTGTACTGCTACTTCGACCGCGACAACGTGGCCCTGCCAGGCTTCGCCAAGTGAGTTCTCCCAATTGTCGCTTAAAGAATTCACTCAGATTTTCACGGACACATTAAGATGCGCTCTAGAATATAACTTTCAGTACACATTCAAAGAGCAAGATGAAGTCAGTTCAATCAGCGAATGTGGCGAAACTAAAGTTCGTTTTTGGCGTCTACTGCCTGCGTGCAGGTACTTCAAGGCCGCCAGCGCTGAGGAGCGCGAGCATGCAGAGAAGCTGATGGAGTACCAGGTACGCTTACTGGACGCCAGGATACTTAATTGGGTCATCATTCTCTTGAGTAAACCTTGTGGTTGGATACTGCCGGAATCTGCTGCTTACGCTGCTGCATCCTGGCATTTCGTCTGCAGAACAAGCGTGGCGGCCGGGTGAAGCTGCAGTCGATCCTGATGCCCGCGACCATGGATTTCGACCATCCCGAGAAGGGCGACGCTCTCTACGGTGTGTCTGCTGCGTGATTCCATGGCCTGAATTCGGATTCCGGACATTTTCGCGGTCACCTTGGGTTTATTGTTGTTCCAATGTCGTTCCAATGCTGATTGCTGTCTTGCAGCCATGGAGCTCACTCTAGCTCTAGAGAAGCTCGTCAACGAGAAGCTGTTGGCCCTTCACCAGGTACGAGATGGTTGCGAGGGTTTTTACTATCTTTGCCCGTGAGCAGTTTCTCATGGCGTTTCCCACAGTCGCCTCTCCTAAGCTCATGTAGGCATCCGCTCATGTTGGTTTGAAAGTAAATATTTTGCTGTTGATAATTTGCAGGTGGCGGCAGATGCTGGGGATGTCCAGCTCACTGACTTCCTTGAAGGCAACTTCTTGAACGAGCAGGTGTGTGAATATATTTTTTCTTCTCCTAAGCTTGGTGGATGATAAAAGCTGTCCTTCACCTGAGTGAATCGATGCCCATCACGCGACTAAATTGTCCATGTCTCATTTTGCTTGTGTTACTTCTTTCCCATAGGTTGATGCTATCAAGCAAGTTTCTGACTACGTTTCCCAGCTGAGACGTGTGGGCAAAGGTCATGGTAAGTGCCTCTCTCCATCCTGCCTACATATTCTACACACTGTTACCAAAATGGACGCTTTCAAGAACGGCACATGTTCTGATTGAATCACTTCATTGTGTGGCTGCAGGTGTGTTCCATTTCGACCTGCAACTGGAGGCAGGAGCGCACTAAAAAAAGCTTGTGGGAGCACTGTAGCAACTGAGGTTGAAGTTGGGTTATGATGAGAAATGGTACAGTTTGTATCTCCTATGGGCAGAACCTCTTGTGGTTATCATTCGAGCGTAGCCTGTGAACAGACACAAGCTACCTGGATTCATATCGAGTCTGGCCCAGCCAATTTGACTAACAGCAGTATGGCAAAGAACTAAATCAAGATTAAACTTGCCCAGTCAAGCTGTGCCTAACTGAACCTAGACTGTATAGGGGCAGTACCTAACAAGGGAAGAAGCAACTCAGGGCGGGACTATTAATTCTCTGAGACAAGGGTCTAAAGACCAGTCAAAAGGAGTATAGACAAGGCAAGAGCAAGCCCAGCGCGACCCAACTACTAGTCCAGCCACTAGGAGAAGCCACAAGGCCAGTCTGGGTAAAGTATAGATATAAAGGACAGGTTGAGCTCCTGTGCCGCCATGACACCGGCGTACATCTCGACCTTACAGCTGGACCGGGTAACAGACGACGCGCGGGTAGCTCTCCACGAGACGGCACCTGAACCAAGGTCGAAGCAGTAGCCCTGTGAGAACCTGAAAGTCTCGGCGTAGTCTGCACAAGAAGCGTCTGTGTGTCCAATAATGACCACTGGCCTACGTCCTCCTAGCATTAACCCCATGCCCGATGTGGTACTTGCAAGATAACGCAAAACCCTCTTAGCGGCAGACCAGTGCTGAGGTCGGTGTATGCCTGTAGCCGCAAAGCGAGCCAGGATGCTGAGAGGGTATGCGAGATCTGGGCGCGTGCAAGTCATCAGGAACATGAGGCTGTCAAACATGTGTATCTCCTATGTTTGCATAGACTGTATAGGGTCACCTCTTAGAGGGTAAAATACTTAGGTATATTCACCTGTACTCTCCCCCTACTCAACCATTATTAACTTTCTCATTCTGATATGGTATCACGCGTAGGTTAGGATCCCCCACCTACCGCTTCCGCCTGTACCCTAGCTAGGCCCCGCCGCTCCCCCCTGGGCCCCGTCGTGCCCCCACGCCTAGCCCCGTCGCGACCCCCCCTGGGCCCCGTCACGCCCCCCGCCTAGCCCCGTCGCGACCCCCTAGCCCCGTCGCGACCCCCTAGCCCCGTCGCGTCCACCTAGCCCCGTCGCGACCCCCTAGCCCCGTCGCGACCCTCCTGGGCCCCGTCGCGCCCCTAGCCCCGTCGCGCCCCTCCTGGGCCCCGTCACGTCTTTTGGCCCCGTCGCGCCCTGCCCGGCCCCGTCGCGCCTTGCCTGGCCCCGTCGCGCCCCGCCTGGCCCCGTCGCGCCCGCCCGGCCTCGTCGCGCCCGCCCGGCCCTGTTGCGCCCTGCCCGGCCCCGTTGCGCCCTGCCCGGCCCCGTCGCGCCCTGCCCGGCCCCGTCGCGCCCGCTCGGCCCCGTCGCGCTCGCCGGGCCCTGTCGCGCCATGCCTGCCCCGCCGCGCCTGCTTGGCCCCGCCGCACCTGCCTGGCCCCGCCGCGCCTGCCTGGCCCCACCACGCCTGCCTGGCCCCGCCGCACCTGCCTGGCCCCGCCGCACCTGCCGGGCCCCGCCGCGCCTGCCCGGCCCCGCCGCGCCTGCCTGGCCCCGCCGCCCCTGTCTTGCCACGCCTCGCCTGCCTGGCCCCGCCGCGCTTGCCTGGCCCCGCCGCGCTTGCCTGGCCCCGCCGCACCTGCCTGGCCCCGCCGCGCCCGCCTGGCCCCGTCGCGCGTGCCTGGCTCCGCCGCGCGTGCCTGGCCTCGCCGCGCCTGCTTGGCCCCGCCGCGCCTGCCTGACCTCTCCGCGCCCGTCTGCTCGGCCCCTGCGCCCGTCCCAGCCGGCCCCGCTCACGTCCCGTCGGCCTGGTGCCCGCTGCTTCTGGCCCCGAGCTGTGTGCGGCCCGCTCGTCATCCCTGCCCCTGCCCTGCATCCTCCCTGGTACGGTTCCCCTTCCCTGCACCGCCCTGCACTGCCCTGCACCGCACTGCACTGCCCTGCATCGCACATCACCGCCCTGCACCGCACTGCACTGCTCGGCATCGCACTGCACCGTATTGTACCATCCTGCACTGCCCCTGATGGCGGCGGAGCTTCGCCTCGACACTGAAGGCCAGCCTCTGGAGTTCGAGGCGTGGCTCGCCGACCTCCGGTGCCACCTCACTGGCCATCGGCAGGATGGTCAACCGCTTTCCGCACACCTTGACGGTACGCTCCCCTGCCCAGACCCCCCTGCTGTTCTGCCCGCTGACTCCACACCCGCTGAGCGCGAGTCTACTGCAGCCACTGCCCTAGCGCACTCTGTCTGGCTTTCTCGAGATGCTGTAGCTTAGCTTGCCATTAGCAACGCCCTTCCCCCGTCCGAGCGCCCTCGCTTTAGGACCCTCACTACCGCCCAGGCTTACTTAGATGCTGTCATCAAGCGCTATTCCACACCTCCGGCTGCCTCGGTGGGTCGCCTGATCCTCCCGATGCTCTTTCCTGACCTTGCGTCTTTCCCCACTGTCTCTGACCTAGCTGCCCACCTGTGCTCGATAGATGAGACCTGGCGCGCTGCCTGCACTAACGCACAGCTTAGAGCCCACCAGCCGCCCATTACCTCTACCCTCTACCTGCTTGCCACCCGCCTCCCTGACCGCCTTGCTGTCGCCCGCGACCGCTTCCTTAGCATTCACCCCGGTGAGCTCACCCTCACTGACTTTGTAGATACCCTGACTGTGATTGAGACCCGCCACCGCTCCATCGCCCAGGCGAGCGGTACCGTGCCGGACCCTATCTTTCAGGGTTGTGCCCCCGCTCAGTGTACCTTCTCCGACGGCTCTGCCGCTGTGGCTGAGACTGCTGCTGCAGCGCAGTTTCGTTCGGGGAAGGGCCGCCGCCCCAAGGCTGGGCGCGGCGGAGGAGGCGGGGGTGCGGGAGGGGGTGGTGGTGGAGTCGGGTCGTCTGGTGCTGGAGCGGACGAGGGGACCCTGCCCAGTCCAGCTGAGCCGCCGCCTCTGAAGTCGCAGCAGCAGCAGCAGCAGCCGCAGTAGTCGCAGCAGCCGCAACCGCAGCAGCCGCCGCAGACGAGGCAGGCGAGTGTCCTCCCGCCCGGGTGGCCCGGCGCTGGAGGTGGTCGGGCGCGTGGTGGTGTGCCGAGTGGTGGTTCGGGAGGCGTGCGTTGTCAGTACCAGATCCAGACCGGTCCTCGCCGCTGCGGTAAGCTCAGTCATACCACTCCCCGCTGTTTTCGTCGCCTGGACGACCTGTTTCGTCAGTGCTTCGGCCCGTCGCCAGACCTCCCGGACTGGCACAGTTTGCTTAGTCGTAGGATTCAGATTTTTGACATGGACATGGATGCCATTGTTTCTGCTCTGCATGTGATGTATGCTAGTGTGCTTCCCGCTTATTACTTACTGTCGTCTAGTGTAGGTGTGCCTAGCTTAGCCTCCCCTGCTGCGTCAGGCGTAGGATCCCCTGCTTTGTTTAGCCTTGGTGCTTCCGCCGTTGTCCCGTCGCCGGACGCCACTGCTTCGCTTTCCTTCACCTTAGACTCTGGCGCTTCCTGGTGCTTCTTCCGCGACTCTACTACACTGACGCCGCTTCCTGTTCCTGCTGCCGTTTCTCTTGCTGACCCCTCCGGCGGTCCGGTGGTCGCCCGCAGTTCCACCACCCTTCCCTGTCCGGCGGTTCCTTCAGGCTCTCTCACAGGTCTGCATATCCCCTCGTTCTCCAGGAACCTAGTTGGTGTCGGCTGCCTCCAGGACCTTGGCGTCACCACTACGTTCCCTGGTCACGAGCGGTATGCTGTCTGTACCGAGGCCGCCACTGGTGCCCCCCTGTCCACGTTCCCCCGGGACCCGGTGTCCGGCCTGTTCACTCTGGACACCGTGACCCCCCCGGCTGGAGCGCTCCCTCAGGTGGCTGCGTCTACCCAGGTTGCTGCTGCCTGCTCCTGTCGGTCCCTCACTCACCCGACTCTCCTTTGGCACCACCGCCTAGGTCACCCTGCGCTCCCGCGTCTTCGTCACATGTCCCAGCACGGTCTTGTCCTTGGTCTCCCTGGTTCTCTCCCCGCTTTTCCCTCCTCCCCAGACCCACCTTGCACGCCTTGCTTCGAGGGTCGGCTTCGCCGTGCCCCTCACTCCTCCTCGTTTCCCCCTACCGCCGCGCTGCTGCAGACCCTGCACCTGGACGTCTGGGGCCCCGCCCCCGTCCCTGGGCCGCGTCGAGAGCGCTACTTTCTTGTGCTTGTCGACGACTTCACTCGCTACACCTCGGTCTTTCCCCTGGAGCGGAAGGCCGACGTGCCTGCCACTCTCATCCCCTGGCTTGTCTCTGCGCGTGTCCACTGAGGTCTCCCTGTCTTGCGCCTTCACTACGACCGTGGTGGCGAGTTTGCCTCAGGTGTCCTTGGTCGCTTTTGTCGTGCGGAGGGCATCACCCAGACGTTCACCCTACCGGACTCCCCACAGCAGAATGGGGTCGCTGAGCGACGCATCGGTTTACTCATGGAGGTGGCTCGCACCTCCATGATGCATGCCGGTGCACCCCATTTTCTGTGGCCGTTCGCTGTGCGCTACGCTTCTCACCAGCTTAACTTGTGGCCGCACCCCCAGCAGCCGCAGGTTTCGCCGACTCGTCTTTGGACTGGGTCTCCTGGTGACGTGTCTGCGTTCCACGTCTGGGGCTGCCTTGCTCACGTCCGTGCCTCCGGCACGGACAAGCTCACTGCCCGCACCCTTCCCTGTGTTTTCCTCGGTTTTCCCCTTGACGCGTCTGACTGGCACTTTTACCCCCCGCCGTCTCACCGCTTCTTTCACTCTCGCGACGTCACCTTTGACGAGTCCGTCTCCTACTACCGTCGCTTCCCCCACCGCGGTCCCTCGGTTACCCCCCCCTTGTTCCTGGTCACTCCTTCCCCGGTAGTCCCTGCCCCTCCCCCTCCTCCTCCCCGTCCTGCCCCCTCTGGTGTGTCCCACGTCACCCCCCTTCCGTCGGTGGACCCGGTTGAGGAGTCTTCTGACTCTGGTGGCCCTGCTGCGCAGTCCTCACCGACCGCCCCTCCCCTGGCGTCCCCTCCCGAGTCCCCTCCTCCACCGCCTCTGCCGCCGCTGCCGCCGCCGCTGCCGTCGCAGCACCCGTTGGTTGACTCTGGGGGTGCTAGTCCCGGTAGCCTTGGGGGTGGTCCCGGTCCTCGAGGGGTCTCGGGCCCTGGAGGTGTTCCCTCTGGGGGTGCTG